GGTCATATGGGAAGGACAGTACCCACAGAGTGAGGTCATATGGGAAGGACAGTACCCACAGATGACAGAAGCAGCGGAGGCAAGGAAGGACGGCAGCTCCCATTCTTGCACAGGTTTTAAAACCAGCCTTTATTAACTAATTGTAAGTAATACAAATATTCCAAAAATATAAACAGACTCTTAATGGCATCCTACATTTCAAGTTTTTGAATACAACAAATGTATCAAATCATGAAGCAGGGTGGTCAAGGATCCCATAGCCCGGTCACAGTGGGAAGCAGACCCCTCCCCTCCAAATGGCATCCTGAAAGGAGAAATAGGCAAATCTGGGGTAATTACAGGCAAAGAACATCACCAGTCTGGGAGGGGCTGTCCCAGGAGCTGACCCTGCACTGAAGGTGTGGGGTGGGACAGCTGGCCAGACCTGTCATCTCTTCTCCCTGGATATGTATTTACTAAGGTATTTTCTAAAGAGACAAAAGGGGACCTAGGGTATAGCTCAGTTGGTGGTGACTGCCTAGCATGCATGCAGCCCTGGGTTGAGCCAGCGCCACATGAGCCAGTATGTGGCCACACCTAGAATCCCAGCACTCAGTTCAAGATCATCCCTGGCTAAACAGTGAGTTCAAACACCTGCCTGGATTCATAAAACCCTGTCTGAAAAAAAAAAAAAAAGAAAACAAAAAACAAACAAAAAGGACAAAGCTAAGGTATATATATAAAAAAAGGAACTGAGAAGTAGCCATGGTTAAGTAGCCCAAAGGGAAAACAGGCTAACCGTTCACACACTTAGCCAGGCTGACACACTCGGGCTGCACTGCCAAGAGGCCTCTGAACAGGGCAGGGCATGGAATAGCTGAGGATCCATTTCCCAGAGAACGGCTGTCTTGAAAGCCCCATGCTTTTAGTACGAAGCTTTTCTGAGCCACTGTTAACAGAGGGGGCTACACATTTACTAGAAATCTTTGGGAGGCAAGAGGGAGTGAAACAGGTCCCTGGTTAAATGAAGGCAAATTCACTCAACCTCTTTAATTAGGGACCCATGGGCCTACAGCGTCCCCTCTACAATGTGCAGAGTGGAAACCCTTACCTGGCCCTTTAACAAACTGGTCCTGTGTCCAAAGCTCCCCCTATAAGAGGGACACGAACATCAGGCTTTTGATTTAGAAGCCCAATCAGAGAGACACACTGTGTCCCTGAAGAGGCACCTTAAAGAGCTGAACCTGACAGCTGGGCGGATTCCTGGCACGGCTTGAGTGGGTGGATGCTAACAGCAGGCCAGGTGGTCTACTGACTCCTGAAGACTCGTTTGCAATGGGAAGGCCTGTGGCAAGCCTGGCGACAGACTTCAGGATGAGCTGGCTCCCCCCAGCCTTGCCCTGTTCTGTGCCTGCCTGAGTTCTCTGAGCAGCACCTCCCAACCATCACTTGCCCCTAAGACATGGAACTAGCAAGCAGGGCAGGTCCTTAGGTTTGCAAAGAGAGGATGGCCTGACGGTAGAGGACTACAGGTGGGAGGGGCTCTGATGACAGACAGGCCCAGAAAGCTAGGGCTCCTTGTGGAAGCAGCAGGGCTCTTCCATGAAGCCGCACTGGGTTTTGGTCAAGACTCAGACTCTAGTCTTTGCATATGCCCACCAGCAAGTGGTGGAGCGCAGGCTCTTCTTCCTCTCCAAGGTAAAACATGGAGACACAGAAGAGGGAAGAAAGGGACCTTGACATTCAACTCTGAGGCTCTTATTGCTTAATCAGGACTAGCCCTCAGAGCAGGCCTTGTGAGAGAACCCTCTCCTGTAGTAGGACCTGGATCTGAAGCCACAACCAAGCTTCTGTGCTCCTGGCTAGCACCTGGAGTCCTCTCCACCACCTTGGCAGGATCCCACAGGCACCAGCAAATGATTCCGGGGAAAATGGCATGAGCTTGGGGAGTCTGTTCTGCTGTGTCACGAAAGCAAAAGAGAAGGCGCCACAGTCTTGGACTAAGGAAGGAAGACTGCATAATGCTAGAAGGTACCAGACAGTCAGCTTCCACTCACACCACCAAGCTCCACCACCAGGATTTCTCAAAATGGTTGGTTCCTGAGGCGGGACCTAGAGGGTGGAAACTAAAAAATATTGTATGGCTCCTGAGTGGGCGGTGACCACACCTGAAACAATTCACAAACGCTGGCACCTGCCTCCAGGAAAAGCAGACATGCAGCTAAGAACTCCACCCAGCTCAGAGAGACCCTGGGGCAGGATTCGATTAAGGCAGTGATGCTGAGGTGGCACCTCAGGGGCCCCTTGTGCTCCGAACACAGCAGCACCTCCCTTCCGTTTTCAACCCTTGGAAGCGTCCTTTCTGCATCTAAAGCATTTAAGATGGAGAACCTAGAGAGCCCAGAGTGCAGGCCTGTGAGGACCTCACTTGGTCCTATTACCACCAGGAGGCATTTGTGCATTTGGCAAACAAATGACAGCAAGCCCTGCGACCCCTCAGTTCCGGGAAAGTAGTTCTCCCAAGGCCCTGGAGAGGAAGAGAACAGCCAGGAAGGACAAAGGCTAGATCAGACAGACAACTAGGACAGGACACCAGGGGAGACAAAATACAGAGTCCTGCCTGGGCAACAGGAGGGTTGCAGCAGCCTAGCAACCCTTCCTGTCCTTTGGAGCTAATGTCCTTGCATCAGCACCAGCACAGAATCCCTGAAGAGCACTTTCAGGATCTACAAGCAAGGAGACACACATTTTGCTTTGGACATTTGTTTCCCCTGTACCCTAGCACCTCCCATATGCATCTCAGGTCCAGGACTGCAGCTTGGCCAGATACAAACCAGGCCCACCACTCCATGTTTAGAAAGAATTTTAAAGGGTTCAAAGAACAGAAATCAGTTCTCTGTCCTCTTCCAGGGCAGGTAGAAGACCTCTTTCCCCAGGGAGTAAGACTATGGCTAGGGAACGAGAAGGCTGGCTTGGTGCTGGAGCCTGCAGAGACACAGCAGGACCCATTGACAGGCGCTCTGCTGGAGCCGGATGCAGCTTGGGGACCACAGGACCAGGCGAGTTTGAGTTCTGGCTCTGCATGCTCTCATCCTCCCTGGTTTGTCTGCTGCTGCTGGCTAGTATTTCATGTTTTCAGAAAGGTGTGTGTCTGGGGCATCAAGGCAGCCTCTGGCCTCTCCTTTCTCCTTGGCACAGGCCTTGTGAAGCTGAGGAAAAGCCACGGTTTGGCAAGAAAGCCTGCAATAGTTTCTATCACTGTAAAGCTCAACAGCTCACAGGTCAGCAGGGAGACACATGACTCGGACTGAGTCTTGGATCTTTCAGCTTTTCCCCTACTGGAACACTGGATAGACACCCTAGGCCATAGTTTACTTATGAGCGCTCTCTCTCTCTCCCTCTCTCCCCCCGGAAACCAAATATAGGGTGCAGACAGCTCTGGATAGGTCTCACTTGCCTGCTCTGCATCTAACCTGCCCTAAAGTCAATGACTTTCCAGCTCCTTCCAGACCCTCTGGGCAAGTGCTCCAGCTTCTGCTCGGCTGAGTCAGTCAGGCTGATCAGAAAGGCACAGTGTAGCAAAGTCCCCTACTGGGATGGCCGTTTCTTGGAAGCAAGAAGGCTAAGGGGCCCGCAGCTGCCCAAGGCTGGTGTAGACATCATCTGCTCCACTCAGCTCCTCAAAGACTGGGATTAGGTTCAGCAACTCTGTGTCTGCCATGTCATCAAACCAGGACTGCACAGGCACCTGGGGTAGGAAAAGGTGATGTTAATCTGATTTTTCCTTTCCTTGCCAGTACTACTGGAGGCTGCTGGGCCACACTGGGGTGGTGTCCTCTGGTGAAGCCCCTGTCCCAGCCCGAGGCCTTGAGGCCTTGTGACCACTCACTGCATTCTCTGGGTGGAAGATGTAAGATGCAGGTGAGTTGTCCAAGATGAGGGTTTTTCTCAGGTCCCTTCCCAGGCGGCTGAGGTCCTTGACATAGCAGCCCTGGTGGAACACACACGATTCCCGGAACAGGCGGGCCCGGAACACCCCACACCGGTCCAGGAGGTCTGTCACAGGGTCGGCATACTGGAAGAAGAAGAAGAGAGGTCTTAGCTTGGGTGCCGTGCTGGGTCCCCTGTGGCTGCTGCATCATCTCCTCTTCTTTCCTCCCGTCCTCTCTCGGGTACCTTGGCTAGGCTGGCAGTGAAGAGAACACATTCAAAGAGCTCCCCCATTCGTCTCAGGAACTCATCAACGTAAGGCCTCTTGAGCACATATACCTGGAGATGTAGATATAGATATAGGCTGTTGGAGATACTCCATGAGGAGGTAGCACTGTCCACCTTCCCACCGGCACAGAGAAGCCACCAGGCCTAGGTATCCATGCCAAGACCCTAGGAACCTCTGCCCCACCAAGGATGACTCCAACCAGGCTTCTGCTGGCTCAACAGGCCCAATCCTAAACTGTGAGGAAGGAAGGCACACCATGTCCCAGAAGCCATCTTCATTCCGGGGGTGGACCATTAGCTGCCTCCAGAAACAAGTAATCAAGAATAGGCCTCACAGATGGAAACAGCCTATCCTGGATTACTTGAATCCAGCCACAGCCTCCACAGCAGCTCCTGTGCTGGATCCCAGCAGGACAGCCTGCGTAGGCCCCCATCTGGCAAGGACCTCAATACCTCGTCAGACACATGCCCCCACAAGGCCTCTGTGAATGCTAGAGAAGGGCTCACCCCCTGTGAGGACTTTGCTTGCATTGCTTACAGGTTCTTCAGTTGCTCATGCCCCACCCCAGTCTACAATCTACTGCTTTCCACCTTCAGCCTACACAAGTGCTCCTCCTGTCCATTTCTTTTTTTAATGATTTATTTATTTGTACTTTATGTGAATTGATATTTTGTGAGGGTGTCAGATCCCCTGGAAGTAGAGTTACAGGCGGTTGTGAGCTGCCCTGTGGGTGCTGGGAACCTAGGACCTCTGGAAGAACTGCCAGTGCTCTTAACCGCTGAGCCATCTCTCCAGCCCCGCGTCCATTTCTTAAAGCTCTGTCTAACTACATCCTAACACAGTGTGTGCTTGCCACAATGTCCTCCTAGCCTGGGTTAGCCGTCAATTCCTCAGGAGAGCCCTCCCGGTTTAGCAGCAGCCACAAACTGCTCGAATCACCCTGCTGTTCCTCCACTTCACACACAAGCCCCCTCCTCAACCATTATATCCAACATGACCTCTCTACCCATTCTCTTCAGACCCACATTGCGCAGGCAGCCCTCCTCCTCTTCAATTTCACTAGTCTTTAATTCAAGCCTCTAGTAACCAGAAGTCCCTGCATGGATTTGCCCATTCGAAGGCCTTGTCCCATGGCTGACTAGGCTGTGAGGGATGACAGGCCTAGCCAGGAAGTTGTGGTGCAAATAGCTTGTGAAGGGAGATGGATTGTGACAGACCCATGAATGCCTCAAGCCATACTTTCCCTATGAATATCTATCTGGTCAGCCCATGAAAGCAGGTATCATGCCTGCTATGACATCTGCAGCAATGGTCCCTGACCCTCAGTCCCAGACAGAGCTGGGTATGCATGGCCAATGTCTACTGAGCACTTAAATGAACCCAGTGTAAAAACCCAGAGGATAGGACGTCAGGAAAGGGGGCATAGGAGAGGTCTGGGCTGTGGGCATGGGGAGGAGCCCCCCAGGCAGGGAACAGAGGCTCTTTGTTTCCTGCCTCTTACAGGCAGACACTGTTACCAAGGGGAAAAAAAGGGAGTAAACCCTAACAGTGCTGTAAAAAAAATGAGGCTCCTGTTCACTTGGCAGGGATGGTGATTAAGAAATGACAGTTATAGGGGCTGCAGAGATGGCTCAGCAGTTAAGAGCATTGGCTGCCATTCCACAAGTCGGGGCTCAGTTCCCAGCACCCACACGACAGACCTAGGGGATCTGACTACCTCACACAGACACACGAGAAGGCAAAACACCAATGCATATTACAAAAAAAAAAAAAAAACATTAAAAAAAGAAATGATGGCTATGACTATTATTTAAAACCAGCCTGGTCGATGCAGCAAGTTCCAGGACAGCCAGAACTAAATAAAGAAACTATTCCTCAAAGAGAGAGAGAGAGAGAGAGAGAGAGAGAGAGAGAGAGAGAGAGAGAGAGAGAGAG